TTTCGCTTCTTTCTGGCTGCAAGTCCTCTTGTCATGTTCTCTCTTGCAATCTCCGGCGAGTTGTCGTCTGTCCTCCTCGGTCTGACCATTGACTCGTCCCCTCTTCTTTGGGCCTCGCCACTCTGCACTTCTTCCGGCCCCCGCCTGCCGTGCCCCTGCTGAGCAGCAGTGGGGGGTGCCTGCCGAGGAAGGGGAAGTGTATCCTCGGATACATGCTGGCTAGCCCAGTGCCGGGGGCTTTAAACTACGTTCAACAGGGCAGGAGAGAAAAGCCCCTCGGTAAGCCCAGAGCCCTGTGCTGAAGGGTCAGAAGCTGGGGGAAGCGTGGGCCATCATGGCAGGGACAAAGGAGAGACAAGAGCACTAGGGAGGGGAAAGCTAAGGCACCTTTTAGCTGTCTGGGGGCTAATGCACAAAGAATCAGGAAGAACTGGACATAACTAGTGAATAATCCTGATTCCGACACGCCTGACCGCACGGAGAGTTGGTGGGCTAGTTCCCAGGACGGCTGTACTGCTCCAGAAGGGTACGGCCTGGGCAGCGAGGACAGGCAGGAAGTGTTCAGTGTGGCCTTGTAGATCAAAGCTGTCTACACTTGCACTGAGGCAGAAGTGGGAGGCAGACCTGCTGAAAAACTCCGGATAAAAATTAAAGAGGTAAAAAACAAGGGTGATGTCACGGTAGGACTCACAGACCCACAGGGTCGGGGCTATGCCCCCAGCCTGGGAACAGTCTCTGGGAGGGGCCTTCAGTGGGCCAGACCCCCCGGGGTCTCATTCTTCCCCCAGGGTGAGCCACGCGGCCTCACCACCTCCTGAGACTGGGCCTCTGGGGCTCCAGCCCCCCTGCCCCACCCCGGGAGCGCCGGGCAGCGAGTCTGGGACAGACCCTGGGGGAGACGTGTCCTCTCCTCAGGGATCAGTGCCCCTCGCCCAGCGTCTGCAGGGACACTCACCCAGCGCTGTCAGACCAGGCGGGTTTATTGGTCACCTGGCACACGGCCCAGGCAGCGCCCAGCCCAGCTGTTTGCATTTTCACTGACCCCTCCGGTCTGAGCCTTCTGATTCACGTAGTTCAGCCCCCGGGTTGGTGCAGGAACCGGGGCATTCCCCACAAGGACGTCAGAGCTGGTGACCTGGAGAACCCCGACTACCAGCCTCCCGCCCCTGGCTGTGTCTGCCCAGGGCTCTGAGCCATAGGCCAGGCGAATGGCTCCACACTTGGGCCCGTAGCCCCAGTCACAGCCCTTCAGCATTCGATGGGGTGGCACCACACAGGGTGTGACAAGGGGCCTCTGTCCCAGACTCTCCCCGCCCCAGGAGTGTCTCCCCCTTGGCCACCTCCCTCTGCTCCCCTGGGGGTCCGATGAGTCCGACGAGACACGCACCTGGGGCCTGGAGTGGGAGCCCGTCTGCCACCCCTGTGCCCCCGAGGAGCTGGCTGGGTGGCTGCTTCCCTCCGACGGGTCAGTCACATCGTCCCTCTCGGAGCCGGAGCTCACCCCACACGAGCTCTGTCTGGCCCCCGTTCCACTAACCCTGGGCTTCTGCCCACGTACGCCCCGTTTTCCTACAGACATCACCGCTCAGGGCTCTGAGACCCCGCATCCTGCTCCCCCCATTTGGGTTTACCCCAGTCCCACTTCTGGGGCAGCCTCACGGTCCCTCTCCCAGCACCCAGGCTTAGGCCAGTCCCCTTCGGGTCTCTCCACCCCCAGACCGAGTGTCCCCAAAGTGATCTGCCCACCGGCCTGCGCGGCACAGCCCCTTCGGCTTCCTGTCCACGACCCACGGTCTAGGCTCGTAGGGACACATCTCCTGGAGTTGTTCCGACCCAGCCCAACTATCCCCATATTGACTGGGTACATGTCACCTCAGGACGGGAGGCAGAGATAAAGTTTCTTGACACCTGAAATGACTGCTTCTTGGAGCAACTAGTCTTGGAACCCACAAGGGGAGAGGCAATTCTTGATTTACTCCTAAATGGAGCACAGGATCTGGTCCAAGGGGTGAATATAGCTGGACCACTCAGTAATAGTGACTATAATGTAATTAAATGTAACATCCCTGAGGTGGGGAAAACACCCCAGCAGCCCAACACTGTAGCGTTTAATTTCAGAAAGGGGAACTACACAAAAATGAGGAGGTTAGTTAACCAGAAATGAAAAGCTACAGCACCAAGAGTGAAATCCCTGAAAGCTGCATGGGAACTTCTTAGAGGTTCAACAGCATGTTGGGAATCATTAAGAAAGGGATAGATAATGAGACAGAAAATATCATATTGTCTCTATATAAATCCATGGTACGTCCACAGCTTGAATACTGCGTGCAGATGTGGTCGTCCCATCGCAAAAAAGATATATTGGAATTGGAAAAGGTTCAGAAAAGGGCAACAAAAATTATTAGGGGTATGGAACAGCTGCCACATGAGGAGAGATTAATAAGACTGGGACTTTTCAGCTTGGCAAAGAGACGACTAAGGGGGGGATATGATAGAGGTCTATAAAATCATGACTGGTGTGGAGACAGTAAATAAGGAAGTGTTATTTACTTCTTCTCATAACACAAGAACTAGGGGTCACCAAATGAAATCAATAGGCAGCAGGTTTAAAACAAACCAAAGGAAGTATTTCTTCACACAACGCACAGTCAACCTGTGGAACTCCTTGCCAGGGGATGTTGTGAAGGCCAAGACTATAACACGGTTCAAAAACAAACTAGATACATTCATGGAGGATAGGTCCATCAATGGCTATTAGCCAGGCTGGGCAGGGACGGTGTCCCTAGCCTCTGTTTGCCAGAAACTGGGAATGGGCGACAGGGGATGGATCACTTGCTGATTCCCTGCTCTGTTCACTCCCTCTGGGGCACCTGGCATTGGCCACTGTCGGCAGACCGGATACTGGGCTAGATGGACTTGTGGTCTGACCCAGTGTGGCCGTTCTTATGTTCTTATTCAAATCCCCCAGCTCAGTGACCCCTCCCCTCCCCATTTGTGGGGAGATCCTCCCAGCGGGGGGGACCGGGGACTTCCATGTAGGTCACCCCCAGGGTCTTCTGCACACCCCAAAACCTGTTCCCATAAGCCTCAGGTGCCCATTCAGACTTGAGCAGTGGAGCCTGGTTGAACGGTTCCTAGTCCCCAGTATCGGCTCCGCCCATCTGGCTGGGCGCCCCTATGGCTCTGGGACCGAGCAAGGGGGTGAGACGCGGAGCTGGCCTGCGGGGTCAGCCTGGTTCGATCGCAGGCCTTCTCAAAGGCAGTGAGGTAGGACCCGATATCCCGCCCCTCCAACTGGGCAACAATTTGGGATCTAGGCTCCCCTAGAACTGGCATCCTGGGGCATTTCCCCATTTTATCTTCGGTGGGGCCTCTCACCCTCAGCTTCTCCAGCCCCCGTTCACGCTTTCGCTGCTTCTCCTGCTTCTTCCTCGTGTTTTCGCTGCATCTCATGGGCTGCCAGCCTCTGTTCCTCCAGCCAAAGCTCCTTCGCTCAGCTCCAGCTCCCACCAACTCCATCAATGGGGAACCAGGTCGTGAGGACGCCCCACTGGAACACTTTTAGAGTGGGGGTGCTGCAGCTGCGCCTCCCCTTACCCCTGTCTGCACCCCCAACTGCCCCGTAGAGCTGGGGCCGGGAGCTGGGCCGTGGCTCCGGGGAGGAGGTCGGGGGGGGGAGAACGCGGACAGGGGTAAAGGGGCTGAGGCTGAGGCCACAGCTGGGGGCGGAACCCTGGCACGGGAACAGCAGCCGGGGCTGGGAGCAAAGCCCTGCGTAATACCTGGGGGTGCTGCACCCCTAGTTCCCACGCCTATGGCTGCCTCCGTCACGCTCGTATCCTTCTGGAACCCCACTTGGGCCTGGGTCCCATTGGCAGGGCGCTGAGTCCCCCGGGCTGGGTGCCGTTGGCGGCGGGTGCCGGTCCCCGGGCTGGGTGCCGTTGGCGGTGTGGGTGCTATTGGTGGCGGGTGCCAGTCCCCAGGCTGGGTGCCGTTGGCGGCTGTCACCGAGTCCCCGGGCGATGCTCTGGAACTGCTCCCCACAAAGCCAGTCAGGACTCTGGGGAGCCTCCTCTCGCTCGGAGCAGACTGTCTTCAGGGCAAGACGCTCACACGGCTTCACCTCCTGGGTCTCTCCTGGGAGCATTCAGCATATGCCCCTCCGTGCGCTTCCTACAGCGAGTCCGCCCAGGCGGGGTCCTGGGGCAGCCAGAGGGGCCCTGCCCCCCAACTCCGCAGTCAGACGTGACTCTCAGCCAGCCAGTAAAACAGAGGTTTATTAGACGACAGGAACACGGTCTAAAACAGAGCTTGTAGGTACAGCGAACGGGACCCCTCAGCCGAGTCCATTCTGGGGCCCAGCGAGGCAGACACCCGTCTACCCTCCCTTCCAGTCCCCAGCTAGCTCCAAACTCCCCTCCAGCCCCTCCTTCTCTGGGCTTTGTCTCTTTCCCAGGCCAGGAGGTCACCTGATCCCTTTGTCTCCAACACCTTCAGTTAGCACCTTTGCAGAGGAGGGGCCCAGGCCATCAGTTGCTAGGAGACAGAGTGTCGGGCATTTATGTACCCTGGCCCTTTGCTCTGCAGCAACCATACACCCTTATCCCACCACCTAGACACTTAAGAACTGCATAGGGGAAACTGAGGAAAACATTAAGAACAGTCCCACTTCGTCACAGCGGTGGGTGCCGGTCCCTGGGCTGGGTGCCATTGGTGGCGGGTGCCGGTCCCCAGGCTGGGTGCCGTTGGCAGCATGGGTGCTATTGGTGGCGGGTGCCAGTCCCCGGGCTGGGTGCCGTTGGCAGCGTGGGTGCTATTGGTGGCGGGTGCCGGTCCCCGGGCTGGGTGCCGTTGGCGGCGGGTGCCGGTCACCGGGCTGGGTGCCAGGCGGGCCAGTGGGTGCCGGTCACCGGGCTGGGTGCCAGGCGGGCCAGTG